TTAAATGGTACACAAGTTTTCTAAATTAGGAAATCAGAATTATAATTTTTCAGATCAGGAATATCAGGGGTTGTTTTTGAGATATTCGTTAAAAACTAGAATTGTATAATCTCATTTTTTTGTATCTCATACAAAAAATGAACAAAAAGCACAAGAACTTTCAATATTGTTTCATATTTGTTATAATCTGATATAAAACGATTTCTAATGCGACGTTTCGTTCACAATATATTTCATCATCAACCTTTTTTTTTAATACGGACCCGCATTGTTATACATAGCTGAAGTTGGTATTTCAGTGAACGTTAAGTCTTTTCTCAGTCAGCGAGGAGAATATAGAGCAGGTTTAGTTCTCGGCGGAAACCCCTGAATAAGAAATAAGTCTCGGCCGAAATCCCAAAACAGAATGAATGCCTCGGCTAAGAAATGTGTTCGAAGTAACTCTTGAAAAATGATCACTGACAAATGGTCGGGGTCATAAATATAGTCTGAAAGGATCAACCACTTGGGCCCGATTCCATAAAAGTGTCAACAATGAGTACCTACTCAAAACATCCCAAGTGGTGCCTGTCCCTAAATTCATCTGTTCTTTGGCAATAAACGAGGGAAGAGAGCATTTCAATGATATGCGATAANATAGACGACTTTTTGTTGCCCAAAATGGAAGAATTAAACACGCCTGACGTGTGGTTTCAACAAGACGGTGCCACATGCCAAACGGCACGCGAAACAGTGGCCCATTTAAGAGCCGCCTTCGGTGAACAGTTTATCTCACGTTTGGGGCCGTCAATTGGCCGCCTAAATCGTGTGATTTAACGCCTTTGGATTATTTCTTGTGGGGTCATGTTGAGGCTCATGTCTACAGGAATAAACCAAAAACGACTGACGCTCTAGAAGCCAATATTGAAGCATTCATACTTGTTGTTTTGTAAATCAAATCCTATACCTCTTAAAAATTCACCCGTTATTTGAGAGACACTATATTCAAACTGTGATTTCCTGTATCTCTTCGCTGATGATATGGTATCAACTGCATGCAAAGCTGTTGAAAGAAATTGCATGTTTGTTAAATATTTATCACTTTGTTAAAGCTGTTTTCTGGATATTTTGGCCATCGTCTGTAAGTTTTTATTGCTAATGTTTCGTCAGGCATTTGTCTCCGGTTTTATATCATCGTTGGTGGGCGTGGCGTCGTTTCTCCCAATTGGAATTAATGACCTTGTTTCTGTACAATTGAGGACAGTTAGCCAGATTTCAGTAATGTTCATTGCCTCTTTCTTTCTACTGAAAGTATCCTTGTGTTTCTGGATTTCTATTGCCTCTCTATATATTCTTGGATAGTAATTTTGAGTTTTATCAAGTGTTTGTGTATCTACGAATGGGATAATGAGATACCTTCTTTGGGAGCATGCTCGGCAACAGCTGATATGTTGGTTTGTTCGAGGAGACAATTTCTCTTGTGTTCAGAGAGACGGGAACCTACACTCCTTTTGTGGTTCCAATGTAAACTAATCCGCAGCTACTGGTATACCCAGGGTGTTGCTAAAGGTTCTCTGAGGTCCTTAGCCTTAGACCTCAAACTTTGCCTGATAGTTTTTGTTGGCCTAAATATTGGTTACACGTTGTGTTTTTCTAAGATTTACCAATTCGGTCTGTAACATTTTTAACATAGACAAGGAAAGCTTTTCCGTTGACTAGCCATACGACTTTGTCCTTACCTCTCCTGGGTCCTATGGCCCATACCGTTTGAAGGCATTTTTTAGGTGACTGGGTTCCTCAGGAAGACTTTCAGGTTCAAAGAAGCGTCAGTCCATCTCAACCAATTGATCTGATAGACCAATAAAAGTTTGAAATTCATCGTTATCAACAAAAAAGTTTCCTTTCCTAGATCTACTACAACACTAATTATGTAACTTGTACATTCATATCCACAACGGGAATATTCCTCCTGACGAAAATCAAGTAGTTTTCATAAAAGAGCTCTAAAACAACGCTATAACATCGCTATAGCTATAACATCAGTTATAGCTAATAAAGGACCTGCTGTATGAGACAAACAAAGATGACATATTTCAGAGGCGTGCTGTTTTGTTTACTTGTGTTCCGAGTTCGAGACATTCTGTGACATGTGACATGTTGTGCACCTAACCTATCTTCCTATATATAAATAAATAACAAAACAACTGTTGTTTATGTGGCTTGTGAAGGTGATATGTAACTATAATTTATATTTTGCCTTAATTGTTGATTTATAAAGATAATTTTCCTTTTGTAAAGTACGTATAAATTATTTCAACTTGAAATAGGCGCTGTTGCCAATATGTGAATTAGAAACAAATCCCTTTAAAAATTAAAACCCAACATTTGAAATATCAATTTGAATACTTTTCGAAGTGAATTTGAAAAACTCATGAAATAAACTCAACTTTATTTTGTTCAAACTTGCATTTGCTGTAATAACCCAAATTGAGGAACATTCCCCATTCTTAAAACGCCTTGAATAATTTGTTGTCCTTTTGTTTTTTAACGGTAACAGTAAGAAGGAATGATGCACAGTATATGTGCCATGTGGCCTGAAGGCTGCAAAACCAATAACATTCCATGCGGCAGGGATCTGTATCTGTAGAGTAGGGAGGGTGAGTGTAGGCCCGCAGCGCCACATGTGACCCATTGTACATCCTTCCAAGGAGTTGTCCTCCTAGGTTATCGTCCAGCCTGTCCTTTCCAGGAAGGTGGACAGGTCACTAGGGGACATCTCCTTAATATCGGCAGGTGTAGACCAAGACTCGCCGAACACACACACATAATCTTTCTGAATCAAAATACATAGTTTTTTGCTTGAAGTTATTTCATCTAATATATAAAAATGGATGTTTGTTGGTTGTTTGGTAAGTGATAAACTTCTACTTCGCTCAACCGATCGTGATGAAACTTGACATGTATAAGTAATTTTTCATAGAGGAGGTTTTTAGGCTATCAATTTTTCTGTAACTCGCCACTAGATGGCGCTATAGAACAATTTTTTTAAAGCACTGTTCTATAACGCTGCGCACGCCTAAGTTCGTTGATTCTGATTCTGTCAAAACATTGGAACGGCAGCGATACAGCAACATAGTACTAGTATTTCATAAAAGTAATGTTTACAATGCGGCAAGGATATTGTAAACATTATTTTTATGAAATATAAAATAACTTCAAGCAAAAAATTGTATATTTTGATTCAGAAAGATTATATAAGGCTGTTTTTTGGAAAAAAAGTCGCGGCCCTAGTGACCAAAAAATTTACAACACTTTGTGGCAATTAACGTGTTAAGAAATGTATTCATTATAATAACCATCATTGGATTGAGTTATTATTTTAGAATGAGGCCAATTAGGAACGAATTGATGGATTTTAAATTTCTGTTTATGAAGTTACTTTATTTATTGTAAAAATGTAATGGTTTTGTGCTATATCATTATCATATTTCAACATTGGTGTTAATTGGAATTTAATAATAGCCTTTGACATATGATACTAGTTATAATTCAATTTGTTGACAACAACTCTTGCATAATATTCGTATTAATGAAACTACACTTTCAATGAATGAGTCTTTGAAAGAAACAAGTCTCCATTGCTTTTCGTGTCCTCTTAGTTTTCAAAGAAAGGGGATAGGTTTCATATTCAAATGGAAACAAATATTTGCACTGGTTCCAAAATGATATCCAAATTGAAATATATTGAACTTTAATTTGACAATCATGAGTGTGTCATTTTATCTCGTAATGGTCTATGTTGAAGTACGTTTACTTCAAAATTATTGACACATCTTTCTCAAAGATGAACGTAAATGATGAAAATTCTGTATTTTCGATGTCTTGATCAACTAAAGCTTTTAATGCTGTCACCTCACAAACCACAAGAGGAGACTAAATCATCTGTCGGTAACAAATAAGACAGATGGGTATCCGCGGCTAAGCTAAACAGTGGAGACGGGAGTGGGTTAAACAACTTAGCAACTTTCAAATAGATCTTAATGGGCGCCAGGTAAATTTAATCCTCCAGATACCCTAAGTAACTCACAATATCAATAACTTACCAATTAATATTGGAAATAAAAGATAAAGATCCCCAATATGATTTATTCAGTAATCCTAACTTACATGGATTAACCAACAACGCTTCTAAGACAACAATGCGATATTCCCCAACGTGGGGAGCATACATATATTCTTGTACATTTCAGGTATAGTTTTCTATGGAACGGAAGATTCCCATTACTATGATGTTAAATGAATAAAATCAACTTGTAACTGAATTACATTGTTAATATCCTTTGAATGAAGATCTTAAAAGGTAAGGTAGTGTTTTGAAAGGTCACATAGGAGCAGTTTTGATCTAGTGCTAAATTGAAACGTAACAATGCATCATGAAAGTAACCAATTGAAAGTAGATGGCTGGCAATTTTATTTACATAGTTTATACTGACATCATATTAATGTTAGACGATGGAGACTGCTAGAGTGCTTAATCAAAGTGCGGTGTGAAATGAGAAATTTCAGAACTTGTCACATTCGTCTCTTTCATTGGGATGTAACTCTTCTTGTATATCATTGAATTATCAGATCAGTTTGAATGTATCTAGTCTGTGACTAATTCTGAGTCTGAATGAAAATATCAACTTCTTTGCAAACTCTTGTAATTTAACGAATCAAGTCAGTTCATTTTTACTTCATTAATTCTGTTATGGAAATACAAATTTGACTGATATGTGAATTCCGATTGAATTTATCGGATAATCGAATTCAGATGAAATCTGCATACTGATTCTTACCGTAAATCAATCTTCCATCCGGCTCGAAGGACCAATATTTAATATGAATGTACTGCAATGAATCATAATATGTACATTATGAAGAGACAAATGCCGATATTTTTACATTTTACCGAGGTCCCACGTATACATTTGTCTTTAGCAACATAATTCAACCATGAATATTAATGGGTTCTTAAAAAAACTTCATGAACATTTTTCAGAGTGTCGGAGAGTCGTTTCCCACAACCAACGAGGACTTGCAAGGCTTCTGGGACATGGTTATGCTACAGGTCGACCAAGTGGACGCCATATTCCAGGAGATTGAAGACCTCAAAGCGAATGGCTGGCGAGAGCCGGTGGCTGCCTCCCCTCCAGTCAAAACCGCCAACGGGACCGCTTCGAAACCGAGGAAAGTGGTCGCTCGTCCCTCCAACAAGCCCAGTTCAGCGGCCAGCGAAGAGGCTCGCAAACAGAGGGAAGCCCAAAGAAGGAAAATGATCGAAGACAGGCGCAAGGCAATGAAAATAGCCCAACAGAACGAACCCCGTATTGAAATTTACGTGCCCGACGCTACCAGCTGAGACCCGCAGGGCGACTAGGTAGTTTTTTTTTGGAATTGATTCGATCTTCGAAGGTTAGACGACGAAATTCACAGCGCTACGGTTTTTTTATATACTTTTTCTTGTTTTTTATACTCTCACATTTACACTTTATATCTGTAAATCTTTTGCCTAATCCCTAATGAATGAAAGGTTATACTATTTGTAATAAAACAGTTTTACTAATCAATTAATTGTCTTTCCTAGAACATCGTTTTATACAAGTAAAATGTAAGGGGCCCCGGATCGGGTTCTTGCGGTACGCCCGGTCGGGGTGAAGTTTGTTGTACAAAGACTGAGTAATGAAACAAAACCGACGACGTTTATTACCAGTAACCAAAAAAAAAAAAGATGGAGTAATATGACATACTAAAAAAATATATACATTCCCAGTGCTTTGATAACAGCTGGTGTGTTTTTTTGTACGAACAGTTTTTTATGGATTTGCTTCCTAGTTTGTTGTAAGGCTGGCGGAATTTTCAAAACGTACTGCTCGACTGGAGTTCTTCGACTGGATCTCTACTGAGAAATTGACAGGGTATATGTTGAAGTTGTAACTATATTTGCCATTAATTTGGGTGGTTCGGAGTATACATTAAATATTATTGATCAAAGGTGACGTTAATTTTGATAATTCAGAAATTTTAATTTTTTAAGAAATTGCAGTTTTTGGAAAAATGAAAAATACATTTTTCCAAAATAATTGCCATCTGCAGAAAAAATATTTTAAACTATTTTAAACAATTATTGTAATTAAAACACCTTCAAGGTGTGTGAAGGTGAGATCTATTTTAAAGCCGCTTCGTTTTTACAGTAATCTCAAAATTTCAAGGCTGATTTTTCTGCCTAATAGTTGAAGTGGCTGTTCAGGTGCTTACTTGCTACTCGCTTAATTTTGTTCAAAGTGAAGCCCAAACGATGCTTGAAAATAATCTTCTGAAGGCTATCGCTGTGCTCTCTAGATTTCACTTTTTAGGTAAAGGACGGTAAATCTGGTGACAGGCATTTGGTGCTACCCCTTCACTCAGTCAAAATGCCTTGGAAACTGTTGGTCTGAATCAATAATATCATAAAGGTCATTTGATGAGTCAACAATCTATGATCCTCAGTATTCAGATCATTTTCAACCCACAGCACTGGGTTGGGAGGTGGGAAAGCACCAAATGGCTTCCATACCCACCAGATTTGTTGCTCCTTGTTATTTGAAAATTATTGATAGATGGGGGTCTGTCGAAACTGTTTTACTTATTTTCAGAGGTGACTATTATCTGTATGGTGCTCGGTTTAATAATATATGTGATAACAAGTTTTTATTGGTTACTGTCGAATTACGAAGGTCGAGTGTGTGGTTTTGTCGGACACCAGCGCATGTTGTATATTATTAAACGGAGATTTATAATAGTCTATGATTGGGTTCATTATGCATATGTTGTATTTTATAAGGCTAGTTGTTTAAGCGAGAGTCGAGAACGTTCTAAAAGTTCTTTCGATCAAGCATTTTTCAAGAGTGATTGTTTGTCAGCATCAAATTTGAAGGCTCCTTGGCAGATTTTTATTTTTTAAAATCCACTGAAACTTTGAGAACGTTTTCTGTCGGACATATTGAAATAAACGAATGACAAAGATATATTATGGATATTTATTTATTGCTCCTTCTTATTTGGGGGGTCGGAGCCTTAAATTTTTTTACTCTTATTTATTTTATTATATTCATTAACTTCAATAAATAAATTATTTACACTGGATTTTATTCGTGCTTCCTTATCGCTTTCTATTTCCTAGTTCTTCCGCAGTTTACTTTGTTTCAACAACCAAGATATTTGATAAAGCAGAACAAATTGCAAAACATTGAAAAAATAACTTTATTGGAAAAAAAACGGAAATATACAAAGTTTTCAAAATAAATTTCGAGATAAAGTGTTAGCCTAGCCCTAGAAACTATACATAACTGGAATGAAAGTACTGAAAATTATATGTCGGTAACTTTGAAATGGTCGTTATCAATGGTAGAATACGCGTGGCCTTCGTTGTTGAGAAATTCCAAAGCTTCACTGAAACAGAAAAAATATTTTTCAAATATTCCGTTTTTTTTTTTTGTGGGTACCTTGGGAGCTGTCTGAATATTCCGCCCTACTTTGCAAAGTTCGAGGTAAGTAAGCCCTTATTTATAAAAGTTTCACTCTTTTGTAGGATCCAACCTTCATCAAATAACTGACCCCTGCACTTTCTAAAATACCCTAAATTTGTGAAAATATGGACCTGTGAGAATCAATTGATGAAAAATCAAGTGTCACTATTTTCCGGGCTTGAAGGCCATAGATTCTTGGGAATTCTTCCTGATGTTTCACTGGCGCGATTGGCTACCTTCCTTAGAGGTTTATACAGCTCGATTTAATATTTCCAATGAAAATTCAACCAACTTGATAAAGGTAGGAAACGTAAAGGACACTTGCTGGAGAGCCATTGACTTTTCTACGCCGCTGTCTAGGCTCCAACATATTACCAGCTTTCTTAAAATTGAAACAGTCTTTCAAATCTAACCTCAAGAACAAAATGACTTCCGGTTTTGATTCCATACCATCTTTCATAGTGAAAGACTGTAGCTCAGTCTTAGCTTCTCCTCTCTGTTACTTCTTTAACTTATCGTTAAATACAGCAACGTTTCCTGATGTTTGGAAACTTGCCAAAATTTGACCAATTTTAAAGAACAGGGATGTTTCAAACATATCAAACTATAGAGCAATTTCAATTATCTCAAACTTTGCGAAGGCGTTTGAAATTATCTTGTATAAGCACATTCACTTGTCAACACACAACCAAATAAGTGAATTTCAACATGGTTTCATGTACCACCGCAGCACTGAATCAAATCTAGCATTGTTTTCCCACTACGTGTGCTCAACTTTGGATAATCAAGGACAGGTGGACGTGATATACACATATTTCTCAAAGGTCTTTGACAAAATTGATCATAGCATCTTACATTCGAAACTGGACCTTATTGGCCTTAGTAATAGCTACTAGGCTGTTTTGAATCGTACCTTTTCAACCGTAACCAAATAGTTTATTACAATGGATACAAATCAAACACAATAATTGCTAAGTCTGGCGTACCCCAAGGATCGAATTTGGGACCGCTGTTGTTTTTGATATTTATCAATGATTTAAGCACACAAATAAATTCTATGAAACTTTTTTTTGCTGATGATCTACAAATACTGAATTCTATCCAAAATGTGAATGATTGCATAACATTTCAGGAAGATATAGATAATGTGCAGGCTTGGTGTGAAATTAATAACCTACATCTGAATATAGGGAAATGTAAAGTCATGTCATATACTAGAAAACATATGACATATTGAACATCCACACAATATTCAAGGTAGTTTGCTAACCCGTTGTGTGGAGACTAAGGATTTAGGTGTATTTTTTGACTCTAAAATGGCATTTGCCAATTACATAAACAAAAAAGTTTCCGAAGCCAATAAAATGTTAGGATTTATCACATGAAATTGTCAAAACTTCAAAAACATAAACAACTTGAAGATATTATATTTCTCATGTGTCAGATCCAAGCTTGAATACTGCTCAATTATTTGGAGCCTCTACTATTTCTGTCATGGGTGAGTACTCAATTGAAAAAAGTTTAAAGAAAATTTTTGAAATTCTTGTACTTCAAAAACACTGGAATTTATCCAGCTAGGGGTTCTGACCACTATATTCTTCTCAATCACTTTCAATTAATTTCTTTAGAAAAAAGGAAGATGTGCTCATTAACCTTTTTGAATAAACTACTGCACAGCCAAGTAGACTGCCATTTGCTCCTGTCAGAACTGAACTTTAGGGTGCCAAGAGCTCAGTCACAGCTGAATCTCACATTTTACTGCTCTGCAGTACGAACAAACATAATATCGCATTCTCCAATTAAATATATGTGTGAAAACTACAACTCAATATGCAGCTTTTGCGATATTAATACTTGCTAGGCGAATCATATAAAAAAAGTTGCAATGGAAATCTTGAAGTGATATCAAAACTGTTTTTCCTTTTTTTGTGTTTTGAGAGAGTCAGTTATTATAACCACTCTTACCAAGTAGCGCAATGAGTAGTTATACTAACAGTTTTTTTCTTTTGTTTTAGTTTTCTTTCTTTCGTTTTCTATCCGAAATTATATATCATTGTTATGTTATATTCATATAGCATGTCAAGAATGAACGTGAGTTGTTAATTTATTTTATCTATTATCAGTACTGATGTATTTTATTATGTCCTGTAATTGGGTGTTACCTGTTGGGCAATAAATGATATTATTATTATCATCAGCTCAGGCAGATCGGATCTATTCGAGAAGTGAAAGAGCCTTTCTACGAGAACGGATCTACCATTCACGGGGAAATCTAGTGGAGACGGACAAAGCCTTGCTGAAACTACATTTGGGGCTTGGCAACCAAATGAAACCTGAAGACTGGAACAAACTATCGTACTCAAAAGCGGAAAATGTATGAGACAGCGTAAGCACAAACCACAGCAAAGCGTCAGGAAGAAATTCCAAAAATACACGCCTTCAAATCCGGAAAATAGTTACTGAAAACCTCTGCCGCGAAAGCCTTAACCATTTTGTCAATGAAAAATTAGTCGGAATTGATGATAATTCTCTCAAAATCTCAATTAATCAATCTAACAGCAAATGCTTTTAATGATCCATCCAATTTTTGTTCGATTTCACTTCTACCCCATACTTTGAAGTTATTAAAAAAAGGTTACTTGATACAACTGGCTCACCACAAGGATCAATTCTAGGACCAATCTTGTTTCTGTGTTGATATAAATGAAATGAGCACTATCAACATAGAAATAAATTCACGGAAAATACCTTTGACACATTTTAAATTAATTTACTTACTTGACTTGCCGATGTTGGTTTGCAGGGAAATTGCTCAGCAAAGTATCCCTATCCATGCCTTTTGGTGTGGTGTTTGTCTGGAGGATTTTGAATACCTTTTGCTGCATAGGTGTGAGGCCGCTTATTCCACTGTCTATCGGATCATTCATGAAGCTCATGGAGTTTGCGAGGGCCGCTCCTGGGTTGTTGGCTTGGATTTGTAAGTGCTGGAAAATGAAATTTTATTTCAATTTCTTTCTACCAAAACCTTTTCCAAAAATTGATTTCTTCCATCGAGATTTTTCATGACAATAAACGTATATCAACCACTTATGGATAAAGTACACCCTAGATGTGGCAAGTCATAAAATATGCTAAAATAGAATAGATAAATTACATCCATAAGTGCTCAAATGAAAATTAATTTCTGGATAAGAGATTACACTCACAGTGTTCTTAGTCATAGCTTCAGCAGCCAGCCTGGCATGAATAACTTGCAACAAGTGATTGGTAACGACATTTGAGTCTTGGACGAGGAACATCCGTAGAACCATTATGATTTTCCCTTCGTCTTGGTTGCGCAGAGAACCGAAAACCTGTACGTAGCTACCTTCTTTAACGGTGGGTAGGTTGGGAGCACTGTCACCATCGTTTTCTAACCACCATATTGCTTTAATTTCTCCTGTGTGGTCTTCGATGGTGTAAGTAGCTTTGGTAGACTGGATCTCAAAATTTCGCAGGATGCCAACAAGGTTCAGCTGAAATATATTATGAGTACCTACATTTTGATAATATTAACAGAAGTGCAAGTGGGTCAAGAGGTTTTTTATTGAAAAAAATTGAACTGAACGGAAACAAAAACTGACAAGAAATTCATTTAAAATGAGTATTTCCAAAAGCGTATCATTGTTGTAAAACTAAAGCAGAGCCATTCTTTTTCAGTTGCACAAAACGCTCAAGTATATTTCACAAAGCACATGTGATACTTTGCAAAAATGCATATTTCGGCGTATTGTGACACCTGAAGGTGCTATTGTATAGCAAAACACATGTTGAAGTGTGTTTGTTTAATACTAAAATTTTTGTTGAGATTTCTGCATGTAAACGTTTAAGGCACCAATTTAAATCTCTTTGAAGTAATTGTTATTATTCACCTTTTTGATATTCTGTGTGTGTCAGAGCACTGAATCACAAAAAACAATCTCAATAATGAATATTTCACTAATTATACAGTAATTACAGTAATTATGATTTTCACTGTACACAATCACATTTATGAGGAAGTTCTTATTTTGGCAAAAAAGTCAAATCACCAAATTGACGAAATTTAATAATAATAATAATATTTTATTCACCATTCACGATACATACTGTATATATGGTAAGTCAATCAATAATCACAAGGTATAAATTTAAAAATGCTAAGCTATGTATAGAGAATTTATCTGTAAAACCTCATTTTGAAATGTTTACCATTTATATCAGTGTATAGATCGCCCAATGATGACAAATATGTTCATCAAATGCCCAATGTCTCATATACTATCAAAATAGTACAATATTTAAATTATGTATAACAAATAATATCATAGGGGAAGGAAAACAAATAATATCATAGGGGAAGGAAAACAAATTTGATAAATTCTTGCAAATACTTACAATTTGTGTTGGCATGCCAAAGAGCTTGAATTCCTCTTCTTGGTTGTCTTTGAGTTGTCGCACCACTACTGGTACAACACTCTGCAGTCTTCGAACTCCCTAAAGAAAATATTATTTGAATACTTCTGACAGTGAACGATAAGCCCTGAGACTTACCCCCTTCTTTGCTGGAGTATCCCCTTGGCCTGCAGATGTGCTGTTTAGAAAACCGCCACCTGCAGATTCATTTCCTAGGAAAAACAACGGTTTAAAGAGACTGTAGATACAAGTGAGAGTTTACTTACCAAAGTCACTTCCCCACATGTTTTCAACTTATTTCAAAAATAAGTTAAATTAGTGAAATAGTGAATATATTTTGATAATCGCAATTACTAACAGAACCTCAAAATCCAAATTTTGTTATGGCGGGAACTTCTTATTTATACCACAGAACAAAGAATAACCTTTCAGAAAAGACGGCATTTTATGACTATCATTTTGTGATGTGTTGAGTTTATTATAATTTTTTAACGGTAAATTCAAATTAAATTCGGGCGATCACATTTCTCCTCCTGTTTGAAGTAATGTACATATTGAAATTGAAATCTTTCAAAACTGATCTATGTGATCTATGACACATGGATATTGACAGGATACGTATCTTAGAACGCACCCAATTAAACGAAGAACAACAATGATCAATGAGGCTAATTTCTAGGACATGTATATAGTACCGAGAAATATATCTATGAAAATAATAATTCACTTCATGAGATATAACAACAAAAAATTGAAAAATAGAAAGGAGATTTCTGCTTTTGCTGTCTCCCATTCTCATCTCAACTTTTTTGAGCTTTTGTTCATGTTCTTTGCACCATTTCCCAACACAACAACCCATCTTTTGGCACAAAATGAGAGATATAATGACCGTATTAGTGAGTTCAAAAAGTGATAAAGAACTACTCACACGAAAACTCCAGACAATTTAATTACAGACAACAAGTGATATTACATACAGGGTAATGTATTGCTTCGAGCAAGTCAGACTGTACCTCTCGACGAAGATTCTGACATGTTGTGTAATAGGGGACGCACTGATCAAATGCCCCTGATTAAGGACTCAACCAAAGAGTACACCAACTACCGTGTACTCATTGGAAGCAACGAACATAACCAGAAAAAAAAGAAGAAGGTTAATCACAAACCACTTACTTAAGTGGTTCAGTGGTTGTGATTGTGAGGTTAATTTCTTTTCATCATAAGTCATAACATAACCACTAATAATCTCAAATGAAATAAAAATAAGAAACTTGATAATTATTACTATGTATTAGTATAGTAGTGTTGGAGAGAAAAGAAACCCAAGTTCGACAAATGTTTCTCTCGTATTTCATCTAAGATGTTATAATTTCCAAAATAAGAAACATCTCTTCAGGCAAAATGGCTAGCTATGATGGAAGATCCTGTGATGAAAAATTGTCCAATTATCAAACAGTATCCATCTTAGGACACTGTTTTGATTCTAAAGCTATGGTATATTTGGCCAAACACATTCCTTCTGGCTCTATGGTAGCAATTAAAAAATTCGACATGGATAAAATCAAGAAAGGAATAGATTTGGTGGAGGTGATATCTTCATTTTGTGAATTTTTCTACAATTGAAATTTTAGTCTACGTATATTTGGTTTACAGAGTGAAATAATACTCACGAGGCAGCTGTGCCACCCGCATATCATAAACTATTTTGCAGCTTTTGTCGCGGGACAAGAAGTTTGTGTAGCCACTCCATTGATGGGATACGGATCTTGCAGAGATTTACTTGTCAGGCATTTTAATGAAGGTTTTGTACAATTTCTATCAGCTTATATGAATCATGTTTTCATCAATGATAAATCATTGTTCAGTAATCTCCAAGAAACATAATTGTTCATAACAGGGTACTATTTTAAATGTATAAAACCTATTAGCAACAAACAATGAGTTATCACTGAATAATTAAATATAACAACCTCATTTGAATCAGATGTTTCTAAAATCTTGAACATTAGGTTTACCGGAACCTGCTATCATCACTATTATCAGGGACGTATTAGACGCTTTAGTGTATATTCACGATAAGGGATACATTCATAGGTGAGTTGAAAGAATTCTTTATGTCATAGAAATAACCTTGATATAGCAATATATTTAATTTGTTCTCTATTATCTGTTGCTGAATTTATTTCAGGGCAATCCGAGCTAGTCACATTCTTGTCTCTGCTGATGGATATGCATGTTTAGCTGGTATGCGTTATGCTTGTCCTATAGTTGCCAATGGAAAATGGCAAAGAAGTATACATTCCTTTCCAGCAACCACTGAAAAAAATCTTAATTGGCTCAGTCCCGAACTGTTAGAACAAAATCTACAAGGTAGGAATGAATTCAAATAGACTTTAACTACAAAAACTGTTTTTTTAAAGAGTTCTTTTTAGACCGAGTGTATTTTTTCAGGTTATAACGAAAAGTCTGATATATACAGTATTGGAATTGTTTTATGTGAACTAGCCAATGGCACAGAACCATTTTCGGGAATGTCAAAAACTTTGATGCTGACAGAGAAAGTGCGTGGTTGGAAACCTCAGCTGCTAGATAGAACTACTGTTTCTAAGGAGGAAAATTTGGATTCTGGAGGTAAACCACAATACTTTTGTTTTCTACAGCTTTGATCCACTTGAAAACAAGATTGAAAGTAGTTCTGTTTTTCCTTCAAAGTTATAAGTAAACAGTGAATGATGACAGAAGTAGTTTCGATCACTATGCTCTTCCAAAGAGGTTGAAATATTTGAATTTTATTGTAAATCAGATACATGTGATATATGTCATCTTTCATTTACGTTGGCTTTCGATAATTTCTTTCAACTTTTTCAAATATATGTCTCTGGAATTTTCGTAAAATTAAAAAAAAAATCATAGAATATAGAAAGATCACCATAACCTCATCAGACAGATGAGGATATATAATCCTAACAAATATATTCTTCTATTTGATTACAATCAAAATTAATTGTTTCCAAAAGATTTGACTGTTCTCTATTCCATTGTAAGAGAACATCGCTGATTTGAAGCTTGACTTTTTTTGTTGAAGGTGACTGTGAAATGAGCACCAACGTCCTGAACAGAAGATTCAGCGATGACTTACATGAACTCACCGGACAATGTCTCAACAGAGACATGTACGATCGACCTTCTGCTAGTCAGCTGTTAGCCCATCCCATATTTAAAACAATCAAAAAATCGCTTCCCCTGCCGGAGTTGTTGAAACCTGCGTTACCCTTGAACGATAGGGTAGGTTATGATACTGAGGAGATGAAGAATTTCGATATGATAAATCAGATGACCGAGCTGGACTTGAATTCCTGCGAATGGGATTTTTGAAATCCAGTCCGAAGGACCATTTTCATTCTTGTAATATTTAGTACAAATCGTCAATATCAGGAGCTAGTTTTAAGTAGCTAGCAAGATTTAGTAACTCTATATGTCAGAGTATTTTACATAGTAGTGTTAGTCAATCATTTGTGTCCATACTCAAAAGCTGATCTTTTTGACTGTTTTTCTAAGGTATTTGAATCTGAAAGTATAATATATGTGAATTTATGCTGCTTCTTTTTATTAGTATTATACCATCTACTGCTAAAATAAACATTTTTCAATTTTGCTGCAAAAAAAATTAATGTGAATGTAAGCACACTCGATTAGCAAGTAACAAGTCAGAATTATCAATTAGCAAGGAACGAGTAGCAAAAACGATGGCATTCATGCATACCCAATTGAAGTCATCATAAAGTACTATCCAAGTGCTTTGGACGTTAAGATTCTTTAGGAAAGTATGTGTATATTGTATTCTTTTCTAATCACCACTTGAAAATCAAAATTAAGTATGACTCAGAAATCACACATGATCAACGTCTTGAAATTATTAGGTTAGGTATCACTTATTTCTTCTGTTTGATGTAAAATGAGATAATTAGCGATCATTTACGTTATAAATGCGAACTAGCGAGAGATGTAGGAAACAAACTTCTGTATATGATCTACGTATCGTCATGAGGAGTTTTTATTGTTATGTATATCTTCCCTTGAAATAATTCCACAATATTTGTTCGAAGATAGAGGAGCATACATCCAGAAAGGTCTTTTTTCCCGAAGAAACTAATCTCTTCTGAAAATATGCCTATTTCAATATGAAAGAAATTCCAAATAAAATATTTCCTGCCAATGAATTGGTGAGTTTTGCACTAGTCTCACAGCTTACTTACTGCTGTGCTAGTCTCCTTTCAATAATCAGCAAATCAGCTGCCCCAACACGCCTATTTATTTTTATTTTATCGAAGTTTTGTGGTGACATCTTACGGTTAGAAGATGAAACTGATGGAAATGACAGCGCATCATAAGTGATGGAAATGTCATTGTCTATATAGACAAAGGAAATGTATTGATTGATTTTTTCACATAATACTACTTGATAACTTTGGACTCTCAATAAAAGATGGCAGCATATGAAATTTGAAGTATACTTTTGAAGTTCAAGTTATAATGTGCAACAGACTATCTGGAAAATAATGTTTGGCGTTTTTAGAAACAATCGTTGTTTACGCACTGCTGTGTATTTTCATTTATTTGACAATAAAACACGAATTCTTAAGGACATACTTTTATTCCAAAATCTTGACTTCCATAAGCCAGTTCACAAAACATCTCGGCCATGGAACACACACTCTCCAAAACTTAAGGTAGGTTCACAACACACACACAACGCAGAATGTCATCGTGATTTCGTTCAGGTTTGGAGACCAGCTTCCCTACCCTTTTGGCTGATTGTTGGTCTTGAGAGGGACCAATGGGTTCATGACTGAATAGATGACGGCATGAAGTCCTTAGACATCAGTGCCGCCCTTCACGGGATACCCCTACCTGGCTGGGGTGGGATGGATGAAAAAGTTATTCATCCGTTAACGGGGGACATGAGGGCCTCATTCGACAGAGTGTCGGGGCCTTCTATATCGGGAGGGGTCGTCTACAGCATAATCTGTGGCTTCCCTAACTAACGAACACACACAACCAAAATTTTCAGCACTAATATGTACAACACAGAAGTTATCGTCATTTGAAAGTTTGTGCTGACACCTATTAGCTAAGGAATAAAGTTTTATAAAATGACTAGAGCATAACTTTGGGCATTGAATAATAGATGTCAGGCTATACATAGTTGTAAAAAAAAAACTTCAAAAATTTTCACTTTTGAAGAAAGAATTATTAACTACACATTTAGAATTACAGTGCATTGCAAATCTCAGAATGGGGATCGTCAACGTAAACTCTGAAAATCCAATATTGAATTACGAAGCAGAAATGCTGGTTTTGTAAAGGTATGTTAGCGACATTTAAGAATGAGAACATACCCTCCAGATAAGTTAAGTAAGTAAGTATAACTCGAACAGTTCGAAGAAAGACCACTAAGAAAATCTTGAAAACCAATTAAACAGTAGTCCCAACAGCCAACAAAACGAATAATGCCCGCTATTTGTGTAACCTGTCGCGCAAAACAAACAAGAAATAAAAAGTGTCTAAGAACTCCGAACAAATCAACGTTCCCGTAAACTTAATGCACCGGAAAACTGATGGGAAAACTTTCAAAAAGTCGTTGAAAAAACTTCCAACTGATGTAGCGGAAAGAAGGAATGAGTAATGCGGATGCCTTGCCTGTTGAAATTGGATGGCCGCATTTTGCGTAAGGGATGCTACCAGGCCTTAAAAAGTAGAGGTGAATTTCGAAATTTCAAATGAACAAAAAGTAATTTAATAAAATTGATATGACTCCAAAAAAGAACTGAATTCAAAAAAATACTTGATGAAAATACGTATCAAAACTTGCCTATAACATTTTCATTTTAAATTTTCACAAAACTGCGAAGCTATACCATAGCTTCCTTAAGCAGAATTTCATTAACTATATTTAGATTGACACAATCTACGAGTATATTCTAAAAACATTAGTCCGATCAGTTACATAATTCCAATCCTAGTCCTACCCTTGCTATGAATATCTCATGTCCTATGTCCCTATCATGTTTCTTTTATGTCCCTGTCATCTCCCTGTCCTGTATTTGTCATATATATCTCATGTCAGTCATGTCCCTGTTATGGCTCTATCATTTCCCTGTTATGTCGTATCCCCGCCATGCACCCCTCATGTTCCTATCATGTCCCCATCATGCCACTGCCATGTCCCTATCTTTTCATGTCCTGTCATGTCATGTCCTCATCATGTCCCTATCATGCCATGCCCTGTCAAGGTCTTTCATGTCCTGTCCTTTTATGCTATGTCATGCCATTAACTCGCCATGTCCCTATCAAGTCTCCGACATGTCCCTGTCATGACCCAGTCATATCCCTATCATGTCCGTCAAGTCTCTGTCCTGTACTTGCCATGTATGTATATCTCATGTCTTGTCAGTTATGTCCCTGTCGTGTCATGTTCTGTCAAGTCCTTTCATGTCCTGTAATATCATGTCATGGCCTGTCATGTCCTGTCAAGTCTGTTCATCTCCTGTCATATCCCTATCATGTTCCAGTCATGTACCCATCGTGTCCCGGTCATATCCTTGTCCTGTACTTGTCATGTATATCTCATGTCCTTGTCATGTCTTGTTGAGCCCTTTCATTTCCTGTCATGTCCCGTCATGTCGCTGGTATGTACCTGTCATGTCATAGCATGTGCCTGTTGACCGTCATGTCACATCTCTTCCTCTAAGGAGGTAGTAACAGGGCGTATATGCCGTTTTGTAGTGTTCCTATAAATGGTATCCCTTTCATTTTCATGAGGAATGTTTTTAGCACAAATTGAATGGGAAAAAGTAAATCGAAAAGTAGTAAGCCTGAAAAGCTCGATTGAATGCTTCTACCCATTTCGGCAAATATCCGGCTCGAACGACCAAAAGCTCGCCCCCTCAAAACACATGAATTCTCGGTCCTTATAATGCGATAACTCTTTACGGAGCAGTTACCGGCCCGCGAAACGCACAAAACCTCATTCGCGTTTATGCTCCTCATCGAAAGAAGGTCCCATTAAAACGTCCACGACGATTCGGGAGAAAAATGAAAAAAGGCCATTTATCAGTGACATTTCCGCGAATAATAAAGTCATCTGAATGAGAGTAAAACCTGCGTCGGCCGAGCAGGGGATCTAATTTCCACAATATATCTTGAATACCTATAAAGTCGCCCCAACGTGCATTGTCCCTGCATTTCGAGCGGAACCGAACGGGACGGAGGGTTTAGTCGGAATGATCCGTGAGCTTGAGGGAATATGCAATCGACTGGAAGAATATTTTCGTACCCACCAGTTTTTTCGATATACCAACTGTCATGTCATGTTCTGTCATGTCGCTGTTATGTCCCAGTCATATCATGTCATAGCATGTCCTATCCTGTCCATGCCATACCCTGTCATGTCCTGTTATGCCTTTTCATGTCTGTTATGTTCCAGTCATGTCATAGCATGTCCTGTCATTCAATTATCCCGTCATATCCTATCATGTCCATGTCATGCTCTGTCATTTCCTGTTAAGTATTTCATTCCTGGCATATCTTGTCATGTCAATGTTATGACCCAGTCATTACACAGCATGTCCTGCCATGTCTCGTCATGTCTTATTATGTCCTTGTCATGCCTTGTCATATTCCGACATGTCCTGTCAAGTCCTTTTATCTCCTGTTATGTCATGTCACTGTTATGTCCCAGTCATGTCATAGCATATCCTGTCATGCCATGTCCCGTCATGTCCTATCATGTCTTTGTCATGCCCTGTCATATTCCGACATGTCCTGTCAAGTCCTTTCATGTCGTGTTATATCATGTCACTGTTATGCCCCAGTCATGTCATATCATGCCCTGCCATGTCCTATCCGGTCCATGCCATACCCTTGTGACAAAACACATCTATTTGATTTATTTCCATTTTAACTTGTATCGTTTCGCCATTTGGTCAATTTTCTCGGTAACTTATCCGCCGCTGTGGAGGCCGATTCCTGTTGTTTACAGTTTTCTAGCGCCCTTAATCATAAGTAGCAACGGCTCTCATGCCCTTCGGGACAGGCAACCAATATTTCACTTTGACGGGTTTTTTTGCATTTACAAAGTATTTCTAGTGTCGGGCTTTTTATGAACGACTGTCAAGATTCTTTTTCGTCTCTAAAGACCTGAGTGAAAACGTGCGTCATATTTGCTCGATTGTTGGAAGATTTTTCTTGCTTGCTTTTTAAAGTGAACTTCGTTCTAAATTACCTTACTGTGGTCCTCAAGGACAAGATTCACCGTCGAGCCCCGTGCCTGTAATTATTTTAGGTGGGTAATGATTTGTATTACTATAAATGATGTAACACGTGTGTGAAGTTTTTATTAACTACTTTTAACAATTTTATTGAAACATTTGTAATTATTTTAGAACTAAGTCAACAACCAAATAAGTACTCTGTCTCCCCCTCGAACCGAAAATAGACTGTTGGATCAGCAGCAACCCCTTTTAAAAAACCCTGAGATTGAGCCATAGCATCCTGTCATGTTCTGACGTGTCATGTTCTGACGTGTCCTGTTATGTCC